ATTCTATGATTCTATGATCTGGCACTATCACAGTCTAGGGTGAAATGTTTTACCTGACCTTTTGATCTTTCATGTGTTGCTTATCTCAGTAAAATAAGAATATAAGAACATAAGAGCGCCAAACTGGGTTAGAACAAAGGTCCATCTAGCCCAGTATCCTGTCTTCTAACAATGGCCAATGCCAGGTGCTCCAGTGGGAATGAACAGAACAGATAATCAAGTGATCCGTCCCCTGTTGCCCATTCCCAGCTTCTGGCAAACACATGCTAGGGACACCATCCCTGCACATTTTGGCTAATATCCATTGATGAACCTATCTATCCTCCATGAATTTATCTAGTTCTTTTTTGAACCCTGTTATAGTCTTGGCCTTCTCAACATCCTCTCAGCCTTCACAACATCCTCTCAGTACTCAGTAGTGTCCCTTAATGTGAGAAGGAAAACATAACTCATTCTTTCAGGAGGTGGGAGAAGACAGAATCCCCAAGATCCTTCTATTTGTAAATATCCAACCCAGAAAGTTCACTGGCATATGATTATTTTATTTGATGCATTTTTTCAATGTCTTCATCCAGTTCTTTCTGCCAATGTACCACCTCTTAAAAAACTGAATAGTCACCTTTAGATGTAGACAAAAAAGTCCCTTATAGTTACCCTGGTTAACACCAACCTCTTAAGGAATAACTTTAGTATCATGTACTCTCCTATAGTCTTCTTCTTTTTTCTAGATGGCGGTGATTTATTCATTTGTCAAACTGAACAAAAATATAAGAAACAAATATAAACCTGGGTCAAAAGCAATGTTCCTTAAATGGGCTATTATTTCTTTGTGAGACAATTTGTTTTGTCAAATTTCTCCCACTGAAGTTGGACTAACTGGTTTCTTTATTAATTAAAGACTGATCTAGGGCCAAATGCTTCTCTCTAGTTACACTGCTGCAATCCCATAGAAATCAATGGGGTTGTAAAAGAGTAACAGTGGAAAATTAAAACTCCAGCCTGGAAAAAGGTGTATTCCTTCTTTCTTATTTTTCCCCATTATCATAAGGTACTATCTGGTCATTCATATAAGTAAATCAGTTGATACAGCATAGCATAAGTGACACGATTTTACAAAACATCTAAGCTTTAGGAAGCAAACCTCCCAGTACAGACAGCAATTCAGAGACGTTTTACATAGCACAGCAAAAGTAGATGTTCACACACAGCCAGTCTTACCATAAATGAGGTTAATTTGTGTTAGCAAACTGTCAAAGAACCTGTCATATCCTATTGTCTTTCCTAGTACAAAAATGTTAAACAGATTACAAGAGTTAAATAAAAAAAACCCACTCACTTTGAAGAAAATCACCAGGTTTAATAGCCTCTTTTTTCAAATTTCATTTCCATCTGATTTTCAAAGGACTTTTGTTTGCTGAATTTTGTATATTGAAAAATAGCACTCTGCTGTACTGTAAGGTTTATTTTCCTCCAAAGCTACTGCACAAGAACCATGATATAAATTCAAGGGCAAATGCTTTGCTCCTTTCTAAACTTGAATTAGTAAATTGATCTTCTTCACCCAGCATGTTTTTAATGAACTCAAAGATAAAATTTGATAAGTTCACAAAAACAATTAAATTAGAACAGCACAACGAATAAGAGGCGTTAATATAATACGAGCCTCTAAAATACATGTAATAAACCAAAATGCACTGGAATTGTTCAAGAAAGATTCTATTAAATTGTGGGTACTATACAGCTAGTATAATGATTTATAATATATTTGTAAAGGCTTTATTTACATCCTACCCTTGTAGAATCTACTGTTCCAAAAGGTCATGAGAAAATGCTGTCACATCGGCATGTTGTTCTGAAAATTATTCCAAAGAAATTGGAATCAAGGGACAGTTACCTGAAATGATAGCAGGTGTAATAGTTGGAAAAGAGGTTTTAAAAAATTGATATTCACTGAGTCACTACTACGAGGCATCATGTCTTACACGTGTCAACAAAACAAAGTGCATCCCTATGTAGTACAGTGGGCCAAATTCTGACCTGTACATCTATGCAATCACATTGATTTTAAACAGGTTGATTTCAATAAGACTGCTTTGATTTCACAAAAGCATGGGGGAAAGGAGACAATTGGACCAATAGTAACAAAAAAAAATCTAAGAAGTATGTCATGTTTGGTAATTAGATTCATTTTTGGTACATCAGTTTTCCACTATGAGTAAAAGAAATATGTGGGGGCATTGACCATGTTATCATTGCTTTTTCCTCCTTGATAAAAAAGACACAGTTGGTCAGACTGTTTATATCTACACTGAGAGAAACAGTGAGTGAGTGAGTGAGAAAGTTCATTTTTCTTCAAACGTGCTGCAATCCTGTTTCAAGTTCAATTTACATGTACATATGGGGGCTGTTTTCCTCCCTGTGGGCCTAATCCTGAATGTCAGGGCCAATCATGTAAGGTGCTGAGAGACTCCTGAAAGGTATAAATTCCCTGAATACTCATTGACTTGGAGTTATTCAGTACCTTTCAGGATTAGGCTCACAGAAAGGAAAACAGCCCCCATATGTACATGTAAAAGGGCTTGTCTTCACAGGAAAGTTGTACCAGTATAAAGTAGGGTGTGAATTTAAACAGATAGAGTTATAACAGTATAACTCCTCGTCTGGACACTTTTATTCCAGTATAAGAGTGTCCACATGGAGTGTTTATACCACTATAATTATATCAGTTTAAATATACCCATATAATTATATGGGTATAGTTGGAAAAATCTCCCATGTAGACAAGCCTTTACAATATATTTTACACTGTGGTATTTCTAACGGGTTGTGGGATCATTCACAAGTCAACAAATAAAATCTACCACTCCTTCCATGTTTTTCCTGTTTTACAATGCAGATTTTATGTGAAGTCACAGTGAATTTTGATTCCTAATCCCAACATATTTACAGGATGCCACATATGCAAACATGCACGCAACTCTCACATACTGTGTCACTTCCTTTTGACTTTTGTATCCTGACTCACCTCATCTGACAGCAAGCAAGGATAAGTAGCATTCACCCTCCTCCCTGCAGAACACACACACACACACACACACGCACACAAAGATTATAACCTTCACTGCAAATATTTCACCTAGAAAAGATTCATCAGTAAAGTCTCCTAATTTTCACCATTTACATTAAACATGAAAAGCCAAAAAATAATTTGAAATCCTAATTTTTATTTTTCTTCATTATTGTCTCACAAACTCTTAATTAGAAAAGATATTTCTTACCAAATGATTAACTCTTATGTCTGCTTTAACACTTGAAAGGTTACAGGAATAAGAAAAGGAAAGAGCTTTAATTAAAGAATAAATTATTGAATACTCAATTTTAATTGATGTAGCCTTCTGCTATTATTTTGCATGTTTATAGATATTTTATGTGAATCTGTAATCAAGATGACACAAAGAAAGACTAACTACTGAGGCTAAAAGAAGGAAGGGCTGTTGCATGATCACATTCAGCCGTTTAAGTTCCAGAATCGTGTGAAGTGTGGTTTCCATGACAACAAGTCACTAATTGCTAACATAAAATAAAGTAAAAATCAACCTTGACTGAATTTGGCAGCTACGTGGAAGCTGTAAAATCCTTAAAATAATAATAATAATAAATGACATTATTTCTGTTTGATGAAAAAAAACCACACCCAAGCCCACCTTCTGGATGAAGGCACCCAGACTTCCACGGTTAATTCAGATTTGGCAAAGGTGACAGCATAAAGTAGTCATTGTGTGTCACACTTGATAGTCAACACCTACCTTTAACAAGAGATAAGGAGAGATGATTGTGATGAAGAGCTGAAGGATTTTTGTATCCTTGGGCTAGAGATCAGCAAAGGAAAATGCTGTGGAGAATGCATGAAGTAAATAAAAGACACAAATAACAGGATTTAAAACATAAATTCTAACAGGGTGAGAAGAAAAACAAATTAAGGGGGAGAAAAGGGGAGCTAAATCTATACACACTTTCCTTGCTAACTTGTTAGTGAGGGGTTTCAGACCCTCTGGTTTGCAGATTAAAAGAGTCTTTTGAGACTGTTGAAAACTGTTTGGGAGGCACAATGGCACCATTCAAAATTCACCAATTTATGAACTGCTACATATCATTTGTAAAAATTGCTTCAGCCTGAGTTACCTTTCACCAGCTCTGTAAGTCGACTCACTGGGTCACTAGGAGTGAACGAGAACATTTTGATAAATTCAGTTTCCATGACAATGAATTAACCGTGGAAAAGGGGGAGGTGTTGGAAGATCTGTGTTCTGTAGAATACTCTTCAAATGTTTGCCTGTTTTCATTTTTAGCCATTTAGTTCTCATGGCTCTGTTCCAAGTCTCTTTAATTTGCCAGTAGCTGTTTTTCCTCCGCAGATTAGGGGAGTAATTCATCAGTGAATGTTTCACTCAGTGGTCCCATCTAATGTAAGAGAACATAAAAATGATTTTTTCCAATTATGCTTTTTGTTTGTTTAAAAAGAATGCAGCAGCCTTTTTTGTTGTTTCACTACAACCTGGCTATAGTGTTCCTAATCTTTCTTATTTGTTGCCCATTATTGTACTTACAAGTACAATTGCATCTTGTGAGATGTTGGGAGTTGGTTTTAAATACCAATGAGTCCCCAAAACAAAATAATGATTTTATGTTTGGTTCAAGAGGAACAAGCCAAAAAAAGAATGTCATACTCTAGAAAGCCAGCTTCAATGGAAACAGCTCAGAGAAAGTTACAAAAACAAGTAGCATTTTTCTGTGATAGAACTGGTTAAAATTATGCTTCATTGGTATCGTTTATAAAAGCCTGAAACATCCAAAAAGTAGGGCCAAAACCAAAAGCCACTGAAGTCACTGGGTGTCTTTCTGCTGACATGCAGTGGGGTTTGGATCAGGCCCTTATACCAATGAGATGGAGAGGAGAGGTATACACTCACTCTTTAATGTCTGTTTAATTGAGATTGAAGCAGGGAGATCTAGTGATCTGTTTTCACTCCGGGGACAGTTAGTTTGTCATTCAGAGACAATTTAGGCAAATTTGCCCCCTCCCACCCCCCAATCCTGAGCATTTCTTGCAAGTGCTGAGCCCCCAGAACTCCCCAATTGAGTCAATAGGCGTTGAAGGGGCTCACCACCTTTCAATCTCTTCCTGTCTGCAAAACGGTGTCATTTTATGCACTTTACAGGAGATTGGAGGGTTTTGCTGTGAAGTTGCTGGTGGCTGCGCCAGCCCAGCAGGGGCCCAAGCGTCTGCATGATTTGCAAAAGGAAAAAAATGTTGCTAGAAAAAAACAAGGCATACAACGCAGGAAAGAAAGGAAACAAAAGGAAGAAGTCAGTTACCACTTATGCAAGCACACAATGCCTGCAGAACAGCACTCTGTGAATTTCAATAAGGAGTGAGAAAAAACTATTTCCTTTCTTTAATATGCACACAGACATATCTATCTATCTATAATATGCAGATATATATGCAAGTGTATGTATGTATATATATAGAGAGAGAAAGATGCTTATTTAAAATTGCACTATATCTGAAAGCTTATATTCTATCATAGGCTCCCAGAGAATTTCTAATTAAAAAGAATATGATCATTCTCTTCCACACAATAATATTATTAGACTGTGCATGGCTGACAATCAAAGTAACTGTTTTAGTCAATGAGATTTAGTTGCTTTGAAGCAGCTCCTCACGAGAAAATAAAAAAAATGATTCAGAGTTGAGTGAAATTCAGTAAATCAGTAGCCTTGAGTCTCTCAGTCTTGATTTAAAATAGCAGGGGCACTTTCTGTCAGCCAGCTGAGTACATGTGGACAAGCATAAGCCTAATGACTTCTTTTGTTCATCTGCCATGTGGAACTATTTCAACATTCTTATCTAGGATGTGAATGAGATGCGCTAATAGCTCCATGTTTCCATTCCTGGAACCGAGGAACTAATGCAGGTAGCATGCACTTATGTCCCATTGATATTAATGGTGTGAGATCACTCAGCCTGCTGCTTTCAGTGAAACTGAGTCTGCAATACCCACAGTGACAGACAAATGCCTGATACATCCTTTGCTCTCCCCCTGACCTTCAGCTGGCACCAGACACTGCTGCACATCATCTCTTGTTAATGTAATCACAGGTGAGATATGGATAAACAACAGTTGTCTCAGAGCTGTAGATTGCTAATAAGTGTCACACAATACAGTGGAGCTCAGGTGCAGATCATTAAAAAGAAGTAAGAATGAGAGGAATAACAACTTGTCAGTCCACCTTGAGTCAAGCTTAACATTCTCATGATACTAGTGAGCACCATGCACAAGCAGCTGTGTCCTCTGCTCAGTGGAACTTGGACTAAAAGTACAGCAGTGGAACTTATTTCCAAATACTTTTGGTTAAACTTTGAGCCTTTGCTCAAATTAAGGAAGAATATAAGAACATTCAAACATTCAAAATTTCATTTTTTCCCTAATAAAGGTCTAAATGGTCTAGCCAAGCACTGTGAACTTTAACTAATAGTTTCATGCTACAGTAATGGCACCTATTATTTGAATTCATTCTCCACACTGACAGCACAATTCAGACATACTCCAGTCTGTGACATTTTAAGTGACTTGTGATTTTCCAGTGTACCTTCTACAGTATACATACATTAACTACAGAATATAATAGATACATATGTACACACAACCTGATGCTTTTACTTCTGCTGTTATATTTCAGAGTTTGAACCACTGTGAGCTCTTTAAAATATATTCTGTTCTTGAAATATACAGTATGTATAATAGTGTGCTAAATTTAATCAAAAAGAGGAGATGCCTAAAATATTCCTGGCCTGTCCAAAGTTTTTAACTCTTTGCATCAAGGTGCTCCTCTCCCATTTTCCAGTTACTATGTTTTATAATGTTCTTAAAAAATGAACTACAAGAAATAAATAGGAATGATAACTTTTGATCATAAAATTACTCAAACAACAGACATTTTTGAAAAGAATCATTTATCACAGGAGCTGGCATAGCTGCCATGTTTTAAGCAGTTCCATGTGTGGCAGATAAAAGCAAGTTACTAATTTTCCCCTGCAAAGGTATGCAAGCAGGTATATAAATAGACAAAAAGCTGGGAGGGAGAAGGGATTCCTCTTGGGCCTCTTCTCAAGTAGTGGGAGGAGGAATAAGTGGCATGGATGGAGTTAGGAGTCAATCCCTCACCACTCCCAGAAGGAGGTTTGTGGCAAGAGGGTTCTCTCTCTCTCTCTCTCACACACACACACACACACACACACACAAACGCACACAGATATATATTTGGGAATTTCTTCTCCAGGGGGTGGGTAAAGAAGCCAACCTTTGCTCTTCCCCTCATCATCAAATCTGGCACTAGTAGTGTTCATTCCACTGTTTGGTCCTGCCTCTTCAGAGTGAAAGAGGAGAGTAGGAATGCCAGGGATCTGGTTGTACAGGTTACCATAAATTAGGGAGAGCAGTGTTTGGCATTGGGAAGATATGATGGTGCAGTGGGAGTTGGAACAGTGGGGCTGGAGTATTTGGGACAACTGCAGTTTAGGGAGGACCAACGTTAACTTGAGGAGTTGGCAACATGGATTATTTAGGGGGCCTGGGTTTTAGACTGTGTTCTAGTAGCTGAGTTTCGATGTTATATTGTTATAGTAGCTGTTGTGTTACAGCAGTGGCAATAAACGATTGCAACCAATGTCCTCCAAACAACCTCGGAAACATTAGTGATTATCTCTGAGAACTCCTGGAGGACAGGTGACATCCCACAGGACTAGCGAAGGGCAAACATAGTTCCTATCTTTAAAAATGGAACAAAGAGGACATGGGGAATTATAGACCAGTCAGCTTAACTTTGATACCTGGGGAGATACTGGAACAAATTATTAAACAATCAGTTTGCAAGCACCTAGAGGATATAGAGTTATAAGGAATAGCCAAAATGAATTTGTCAAGAACAAAACGTGCCAGACCATCCCAATTTCCTTCTTTGACAAGCTTACTGTCCTAGTAGATGGGCATAAGCTGTAGCAATGATATATCTGTATTTTAGTAAGGCTTTTGACACAGTCCTACATGACATTCTCACAAGCAAACTAGGAAAATGTGGTATAGATTAAATTACTAAAAGGTGTGTCCATAACTAGTTGAAAACCTGTACTCAAATAGTAGTGATCAATGGTTCACTGTCAAACTGGGAAGATGTATGTAATGGTGTCTTGGAAGGATCTGTCCTGGATCCAGTACTATTCAACATTTTCATTAGAGACTTGAATAATGGCATGGAGAGTATGCTTATAAAATTCGTGGATGATGCCAAGCTGGCAGGGCTTTCTAGCACTTTTGGAGGACAGTGTTAGAATTCAGAATGATATTGATAAATTGGAGAATTGGTCTGAAATCAACACGCTGAAATAAAGACAAGTGCAAAGTACTACACTGAGGAATAAAAAAATCAAATGTACTAGTACAAAATGGTGAATAATTGATAAGCCATAGTACTGCAGAAAAGGATCTAGGAATTCTAATGGACCACAAATTGTATATTAACCAACAATGTGATGCAGTTGTGAAAAGGGCTAATATCACTCCGGGGTGTATTAACAAGACTGTCGTATGTAAGACACAGGAGGTAGTTGTCGCCCACTACTTGGCACTTGTGAGGGCTTAGCTGGAGTATTGTGTCCACTGTTGGTGCCCATTGTCAACCATCCATCTCAAAAGATAATGGTGTAAATACTAAAATAGAGTGACTGTGTCACATTGCAGCATTGCAAATGGCTAAAAAGTCCAATTCATGAGTAACAGTCCTTGCCACAAATAGCGCAGGTGTAAGTCGCAGGGCCTGAGGATGAAGCCACTATTAGCACTAGAGGCCTGTTGTGCTTTCCTCTTAGTTCCCTTCACTTTCCTCTCCCTAAACCACAATCAGATTGCAATCATGACATGGGCCCCACACATTAAAAATGTGGACAGATTGGAGAGAGGAGAGCAAAAAAAAAACATGTAACAAAAAGATTAGAAAACCTGACCTATGAGGAAATGTTAAAAAATTGGGCATGTTTAGTCTTGAGAAAAGACTGATGGCGACCTGAGAACAGTCTTCAAATATGTAAAAGGTGGTTACAAAGAGGATGGTAATCAATTGTTCTCCATGTCTATGGAAAATAGGACAAGAAGTAATCAGCTTAATCAGCAGCAAGGGAAATTAAAAGTTAGATATTAGGAAAAACTTTCTAACTAT